GAGGTGGCGGGCAGTAGCACGACACAGCCATGTAGACAAACCTCCCATGGTTATCTCAGCAGCATTGCCCACTCTCAAGGGAAGCTTCTTGCAGCAGACCCAGGTAACTGGTCCCCAAGAGCAGGCTGCAACACCAGAAAAAGTAAGTGTCATGAGCACAAGAAGTTCCTCCTTGCACCCATCCCCTCCCACGTGTCTTCTCCTGCCAGTGTGGCAACCCGCCACTGGGATGCACCAGCACTAGGGAAGTCCTTGGGAGAAGGCCAGCCCCAGAGATCCTGAGCTGGGATCTTCATGCAGTCTCCTGGGACTCATCTGCAAAGGAGTTCATTATGCCGAACTTATGCAAACATGGTCACAAGCTTTGTCCTTGACCTGCTGGGCAAGGGCTGCAGCAAGGAGGAGCTTTGCCAGTAAGTCTTGGTGTGAAACATCTCCCCCACAGTGCATCTCCTTCATGAAGAGGGGTGAGGAGGCAAGTACAGGCTGAGCTCACCCTGGTCTGGACATTGCCCTGGGAGAGTACTGGGTAGAGATCAACAGCTCCTTGACCAATTTTGTAGAGGCTCCTCAAGTGAGATGGGGACACAAGGAGATGAAAACTGGGTGGAGTGGCCAACTTGATGGCTTGGCTTTCTTCTGGAGAGGAAGCAGAGCTCCTTCCTTCTCCATCACCATCCTTTGCTCCCAGCGCACCTCCCTGGTGCCTGCCCTTCCCTGGCAGATGCGTGGCCACTCCTGGTGCTTGTTTCTGGAGTGACCTGCTGACCAAGGCATGTCCTGTTTTAGTTGCTGACAAGCCCACACAACCCTATGAGCTGTATGTGGTTCAGAGTTGTGATGTTGTTGCTCATCAGAGGTGGGACGTGGGATGCGACTCTTTGGGAGGGGATGTCCAAGAGTAGGGAAGGGCCAAAGGGACAACCTGTATCCTCAGCCTTGATAGCGCAGAGTCTGGACCTGCTGTCAGGCACCTGCAGGTTCCTACACAGAGCTTTAAGGGTGGTCTCGAGCCCACAGATGTCCCTGCCCTGCTTGACATCCCCTTGTGTGGGTTACACGTGCCATCTGCCACAAACGGGGGCAGCAACAGCAGAGAACCAGGAATGTGAGCCCATGGAGATCCAATTGAGAAGGCCAAGGGCTTGGCCTGCTCTCCAGCCCCAAGATGGTCAGGGGTGGAGCACAGAACATGCAAGGAAAGGCGGGGAGAGCTGGGCTGGTTCAGGTTGAAGAAGAGAAAGTTTGGAGGGATCTTACAACTCTCTGCAGCTAATCAACTGGAGGATGCAAAGAAGATCAGGTCAGATCTTCTGAGGTGCATCAGGAGAGGAAGTGAGGCAAGCAGAACAAGCTGGGACGTGGGAAATTCCTCTTAGATACCTGTAAAAAATTCCACCATGAGGGTAGTCAAATACTGGGAGAGAGGCCAAATGGGATCTCTGTCAAACCTCAACCCGACAAGGTCAGGAGCAACTGGGCCCCGACCCAGTTCAGCAAAGCTGGCCCTGCTTTGGGCAGAGGGTCAGTCCCTTCCTACCTCAATTATTCCATGTTTCTGTCAGGGCACACCTTAATGGTGCCTTAACATTGTTCCCAGGTATTTTATCTCCATTGCGCAAGGCGTTCATCTCGCTGCATGTAGCCTCACAGCTGCTCTGCATGAGCCATCCTTCCTTCGTTTGGAGAAATCAGGGATTTCCTTATTTTCCTCACTGAAGCACCTTCACAACGGGAGATCTCTGGGGCTTGGTGAAGTCTACCTGCTTTGCCAAGGGCCAGCCCACAATCTGCCCGGCGCTGTCGCCTTCTCATCCTCCCACAGCACCACCTCAAAAACATCTCAGTGCCACACGTGTGTGAGGATTGGAAGGACAGTTTTGCCCAAGAACAACCTCTCCACATGTCTCGGCAGGCTTCTGCCTGGCTTTCCTCAACTTGGCAGCTCCGTGCTCCCTCTCAGCTGGAAGCTGGTTACCCCGATGGCTCTCCATCTGCCCCGTTCCTGTGTTGCTTTCTGGTCCCACAGAAGAAAGAAAATCTTTCATGAGTGGTTGAGTGAAACTAAGGCTTTGCAAATCTGAAGAGCAGGTTTCCTCCTGGAGAAACCTTGCCAGGCTCTGGGAAGTCTCAGCTGTTCTGGGGCGAGGCTGAGCCACTGCTCAGAAAATGACATTATCCTGGGAAATAGAAAAAATTCCCTGCACCCTTACCTCTGTCCCTCCTGGTCACCACCCCTCTGAGGAAGAAGGAACCCTAGGTGCTATAATAACCCCACAGCAGGGCTCCCTGTCACCAGTTTTGGGGACAAGCTGTTTTCCCCCGGCAGATTTCGCAGGGATCCGTAGACTCTTTCGGCTCAGCAGCGCCCGACAAGTTTGAACAGCAAACCCTGCACCGCTCTGGGAGCAGCGTTGGGCCAGCGAGCCCTTTGATTGCAATCGGCGAGTTGGCAGGAATCCCAGGAACTCGTACAAAAATGCTTTGAAGAGGCCAGATGCACAAGGCGTGTCCCGGTGTGGGGTGCGGAGCGGTGATTCACGGCATCGCCATGCGATGCTCGCTGCGCACACATGCAGCCGTCGCACCGCAGCCAAGGCCCCTCCGTCTCCCTCAAATCCCTGCTTGCCTGTTTAATTTTATTATTTTTTTTAACCCCTCCGATCTTGTGCTGATTGCGCCCCGAATTCGGCACAGGTTTTGTCGCCCCCCCAGCCTCCCCCGCCGCTGCCTGGCGGCCCCAGACAGGGAGGCAGACAGGGAATGCGCTCGGGGCGCTGGCGGAGGCGAGCGCGGGCGCTGGGCTGTGCTGGGGATGACACTCGCCGTGCCCTGCTCAGTAAGCATCCCCGGCCCGTGATTCAGAGCAGAACCAGCAGTTTGCACAGAGGCCCGACGAACTCCTTTATTTAAGCACTTTTTGCTCTTTTAGAGATGGGTTTGGAGTCTTGCAGAAACCCCGGAGATTCCCTCCCTTGGGCCAGACTGTGCAAACTCGCCCGAAGAAACTATTGTTTCTTGAAAGCCTCTATAATCTCCCTGTCCCCAGCCCCGCAGCCCAGCTCAGCATTTTGGGCAGGTTATGAAAGAGGGCAGATGCCAGAGCGCAGCATTTGTATGATCCGCCAGCAAATGACGGGCTGCGATAAACACTCGGCTCTCCCGTGCGGGGACAGGGTGAGGGCTGTTCCTCGCCGTGGGGGAAATGACATTACAGGTTTGCAAGAGCTGGCCACTTTGTTGTGCAGAAGCCACCTGACGCTGACAGCCTGTCATTGATTTGCGAAAACATCGCTTGGCATCGATAACAAGCTTTCAGGAGAAACAAGTAGGACGGAGGAAAACAACACCCAGGTGTTCCCTACCCGGACTGGAAGCGCACAGACCCAGCCCCGCTCTGTGAAATGCACAGGAGCAGCAGAAAGTCCTCCTCCATCTCACTGGGCATCAGCCATCCTGTCTTGGGCAGCACTGACCCCTCACCCTGCCCAGCCTTGCTTGAGCATGGTCTCAATGTCCAGGCTGGTTGGGTGATGGAGCAGAGCAAAGCCACCATGTCCCTTGGGTGAGGTATCAGGAAAAGTGGGGAGAGGGGACTGGAGGTAATTACCCTCTGGTTGCTCTAATCCTGTGTCTCATTAACAAATCTTGTGTTTCTGCTGTTGGATTTTATTGAAGGGGCATCCTGGAGCATCAGACGAGGAAGGTGCACAACATTAATCTTCCCCAGGAGCATGCTCTGTCCTTTCTGACACTGCTCTTGTTCCTACAAAATATGAAATATGGCACCAAGAAAAGCCCCACAAGTCCTCTCCTCTAAAACACCCTCTGCCTGGCAGCGTGGAAGAGCCTGCTCCTCCTGGCCCTTCTCTGGGCTGATGTAGGCACCCAGGAAGCCTCTGCCCTGGGCACCCTCCCCTCAGCCTCTATCCCGGTGGGGTTTGTGCCTCATCTCCCATATCAGCCTCTCGTGGCTTGGCAGGAGCTTTGTCAGCGCTTGCTGTGACCTGAAACTGGTCACACCAGCACCGAGGTGTTCAGTTCTCTGCAGACGAGTTGCTGCAGTGTGGCTTGGCAGAGAGAAAAGTCTCTGCTCACATTCATAACCTGGCGTGTCATTTCTTGTACAGACATTTTGTCTTCTATGCTGCTTGCTAAAAAGTCCTATTTTTCTCAGTCCTACCCCAAGTTATTCGCAAAGGTCACCCCAGCTCTTTGCCTGGCAGCTGCTCTTGTTTCTCCATAGAGCTACCCCTGCATAATTGGGACCCTCTTTGGGAAGAGGTGTCACCCCCATGACCACAGCAGCGCTCTGCAGTCAGCAGGACATTCCATGACCCCCATGTTAGAGGCTCTGCAGGTGACCCTGGGCTCCATGGGGTGGGTTTGCAACCCGTGTGGGCAGAGGAAGCGTTTTGCAAATGGGGAGGTTTGCAAACAGGACACATTGACCCAGGAGCACCTCGGGAGGATGGAGGCAGGACCCCAGGCAGGGACAGGCGCTGTGGTAGCTCCTCTCACCCATGGCCTGTGCTCTGCTGCCTCCTGCTAGCAGGGGCGTCCCCAGGCTCATGGCACTGAGACATGATCTTGATCCAGTCAAGACTAAGGGAAATAATGAAATACAAGAGGAGCAGGCGGTGTGGGAGACCCTCCAGCCCTTCAGCTGCCCAAGAACACCATCTCCTACCCAGACCCATGAGCCCTCCACGGCCAGGGGGATGGTGATGTCCATCCCCAGCCCTGTGTCTCCCCAGCCTTGCCCCACTGGGCACGTGTCCCCCCCGCCTCCTCCACCTCCACCCCTCGGTGTGGGGGGAGGCAGGTTTGGGGCGAGGGCTGTGGGGAGCTGCGTGCCCCGCAGCGGCGGCGCGGGGGCCGCGAGCGGCGGGCGCGTGGGTGTGTGCAGGCAGGGCGGTATATCCAGTCTGGCAGAGGGTGTGCCTGCTCACACGCCGGGGAGCCGAGCCGGCAGCAGGAGCCCTCAGACACCCCTTGGCCGGGGGACGTATGGCAAGGAGGGGTTCAGGAGATTAACCCCAGCACGAGACGCGTTCGCTGTCGCCTCGCGTGGTGTGCGGCCTGGTGAAGTGCAGCCCCCCTCTCCCCCCCGGCCCCAGGGTCTGCTGGCAGCCATGCTCCACTCTCCGCTGAAGACGGCGCTGGCTTATGAGTGTTTCCAAGACCAGGCCAGCTCCACGCTGGCTCTGCCCTCGGACCACAAGCTGAAAACGAAGGGCACGGGAAAACAGCGGGTCCAAGAGCAAGTGATGATGACAGTGAAGCGGCAGAAGCAAAAGTCGTCCGTGTCGTCAAGCGTGGGTCACTCCAACCGAGGTAAAATCCCACCGCGCTCTGGACAGCCAGGAGGTCCTCTCTGGGGACAGAGGAGATGCTATGGGGTGCTTTTGTGGGGTTTTGTTTGTAGGGGACACACTGGTTCGTGTCTCTCTGGTGGGTTACTCCGGGCAGGGGATGTTGTCTCTTGCACTGGATGGAAGAGTTAGGACAAGGCGTGGAGCTGGATGCATCAACTCCCTCCCCGTGGAGCTGATCTCCCAGGGATGCTGCGCTGCTCCACATCCCTGAGGTGCTTGGACATTTCGGTGTGGTGTCATTAATCATTTATTCTCTGGCTCTAAAGCTGGAGCCACTGCCTGACCTTTGCAAATCCTTCCTCTGTGAGTGCCCCCATGGTTGGAATCCTCCACCAGACCCGTCCCCTCCTGCGGGTGGTCACTAACAGCGAAGCTCTTCCACCGTGCCGTGGGGTGGGAGCTGGCTGTGAGACGGAGCTTGGCTGTCTCCTGGGTGTTGCTGCAGGTGGCGGCAGCTCTGCCTACACACAGGACACAAACCTGAGCTTGGGATTCGCCTCTGAAGCTCCCAACATGTCTCCTGAGAAGTGTGGGAGCCTCCAGGACACCCCCGTGTGAGTGGTAGGAAGGAGATGAGTTAGGAGGAGAGATGTCCTTTTCTTCCTGCAGTGGCTCACAGTGGTTCAGTGGGGATGCTTTGCAGCCCCCTCTGTTTTGCAGATGGATAGAAATGGGTGTAGGGGTCCAGGCAGCCCCTCCACCTCCACACACCGAGTCTGTGCCATAGAAAGGAAGAAATCAGCTGAGTCCTGTAGCCAGATTTCCTACTGGAATACCTTCATCTTTGGGTCAAGGCTTGGCAAATGATTTTCTTTGCTGTCCTTGCGTCTGGAGAAATCTGATTTGGAGATAAGCCCCAGATTTCCCCGGGCGGGAGCTGCGAACCCAGAGGGTTGTGACAGCCTCAGACACTCCCATCTCCCAGAGGTGCCTTCACCAGCAGCTGCTGGGAGCTCGCTGGCCCAGCTGAGTTCACCGGGAGGAAGAAAGCCCAAGGCTTGGAGGGAGAAGGGGGTGCCGGGGCTGGGACTGAGCCGTTCAACCCCCTCTGGAGTGAGCTGCTTGTAAAGGGGTGTTTGCTGGAAATCTTGGTGAGCTGGGCCAGTCTTTGCCACCTCTTTCAGGGACCGTGGCTTGTCCGGCAGCTTTTCCAAGCTAGTTCGTGAGGCTGAACCTGGCGCTGGTGAAGTGTCATGGTCCAGACACACATTTCGGGCTGGTTTACCAAGAAAAGTTGGGTGGCAGTGGGTGTTGGGGGAAGGAGTGGATGTGGGGGTCCCGTAGGAGCCATCTGGCTGTACGCATTGCAGTTGCTGCAGCGGAGGGTATCGGGCAGCTTCGCGGTGGATGGATCTGTGCAGTGACCTGGAATGGGCTGCCAGCAACAAATCTCTGCTTTCTCCTTTTTTTTTATTTTTTTGTCTGTAGACAGAGACTGCAAGGGATGGGCGGGGGATGGGTTGAGGAGAGTGTTGTTCTGCTACCAAAATAGAAGACAACAGGAGATGCAAATCTCCTCCTCTCTCAGGAGGGTTTGTTACTTAAGGTGTTGTGGTGCTGGACTTGACAAAATAAAATACAAACCAGGACAAGAGGCTCTAGGAGGAACTGGGGCAGTGCCAGCCCCCCTTTCCAGCGGAGGGGCATTTCAAGGGGAAGTGGGCAGAGATGTCTCCTACTGCTGCCCACAGGCAGGGGGGAAAGGGGATTATTCTGCTTGGAGAAGAGCCCAGGTGAAACCTCTGGGAAAGGGGAAAAAATAAGCAAATTCCCAAGGTGCCCGTCTCTGCTCAACAAGTTGAAGATAAACCCCTCCTCCAGACACTTTGGGGAATGTCTGGGAATGGGAATTGCGTGGAGATGTGCAGCTCCGGTTTCTGTGTCCCAGGGAAGCTGAGTCACATCCAGCTCCCAGGAGCTGCCTCCAAACACGGGGCCAAGGCAGCTCCGCTCCCACCGCGGGGAGGTTGGCCAGCACGAAGGTCCTGGTGGCTGATTCACCCCGGCAGCTGCTCTCTCAGACCATTTCTGGAGGGAATCCCAGAAGGGCAAGGAGTTGCCATTTTATTTTTGGGCTTTTCTTGTGGGCTGGAGCCCAAGAGGGTCAGACTGAAATTTCAAGGGGGAAAGTTGTATTGATTTTTATTGCTGTTAGTCCAAAGATTAGCTGAGCAGACTTGATGAGAAGCGTTAATGCTTTCTACAACTGGATGTCAGCTTGTTCCAATGCTCCTCCAACTTCAGCTGCCTGCATCCCCCAGTGATTTCTCAGCGATGCTCCTCAAAGGCAGCACAAGCTGGCGAATTCACAAAGCCCCTCAATAAACCATTGAGTGCTTTATTCCCTCTGCACCCAGACAGTTTCCTGTGTGTGTCTGGTGAGGTGTTGGTTCAGGTCCAGCTTCTGTTGCTGCATTTTGGTCTGCGGTTTGAGCAGGAGCTGATGCTGGCACAGAACTTCCCCAGCTCCAGGAAGGCTTGTTCTGTGTATGTAGGACGGGGAGCACGGACATGGACCCCTCTTGCATGTAGTAGGGATGGGAGTTGTTGTATTCCCTAACTGGAGTTTCTTTAGAGGATCAAGAGATGTTCCCTCAATGTCCTGCTAATTGTTGGATACATAAAATTAGCTGGTTACTTGGAGTCATGCAGATCAAGGCATTGTGGGCACTGTCTGAAGATCTGGGGCCAGCCAATATGTGCACAAGCCACAGCAGGGCAAGGTGATCCATCTGGGCTCAAACTGGTGCATACTGGGGTAAGGCAGTGAGCAGAAGCCAGTTGACAGCAGCATAAGCCTGCACCCACAGTGGGAATGGCAGCTATGGGTGTTTCCAAGGATGGCTGCAGAGTTTTGGGTCTGTGGGGTCTGCCTTAGGGCACATCTGCCCTTCTCACCATGGGAATAGCTGACTGGATGGCTCCATCTGAATTTGTAAGTAATGCCAGCTTCCAGGGAAAATGAATTTCAGTGTCATGGCAGGAGAAAAAGCCAGGCCAAGCAGAACCAGCTCCTCATAGCCAACAGCGCTTGGCTGCAAAGTCCTCTGGCTAAAGAAAAGTTTTGCCAGTGATTCATCACTGACTGGCAGGGTATGGCAGGGAGCAAAGATCTCAGGAAACCGAACCAAGGAGTGTGTATCCAACTGTGTCGTGGCTGAGTGGTAATTGCTGTTTGCCTGTGGCTGAGAGGGGAGAAATCCCATCTAGCTCTGATGGGATCCCACCTCCCTGTAATGGGGTTGTTACTCTGATGTCAAGGGAAGAGGATACTTGGGGCTAGTAAGTCTTTGGAAGACTTCTATAACCTTCCACCTGCATGAGGTGATTCAGTGGAAGCCACCCACTCTTCCACAAACCTTAGACATAAAAAATACCCAAACCCTTTAGCTGATAGGCCAGAAGGCAGAAATGGAGTTTGGTCATTCCTGCAAGAATCTGAACTTCTGGGATTTCACTAACTTTTCTCTTCTAGGAGAAATCCAGGCTTTGTCTTGTGACTCCCACAGGCCTTCTTCCCTTACTAGGTTTTTCCTATGTTTAATCATCCTTATTGTTTTAAAGCTGTGCATAGTTTATTATTTAACTTGTCTATCCTGCACTACCAGTGACTGGTTCTTGTCTTGCCTTTCCCTGCCACAGATTAATATTTATTAACATGCATCCATTTCCACAATGCTCCCTGTTAGCTTTGTGTGTCCGGCTGAAGTCTTTCACTCTTGTGCTTGAAAAATGATGCTTTTAACACAATTCTTCTCCTTGCCATCCATCTCTTAGCTTCAAGGAGTGTTAAGTTGTCTTTGAAGAAAGTAAATAGCTCACCAAGCACAGGCATATGGTGTAGATGCAAGTCTCAGTTTGCTGTGCAATGATCAATCACAGCTACAGAGAGGAGAATGAGGGCAAGGAGAGCATGTAGTGGGGCTCACAGTGGTTGAATGCAAGATCCTGCAATCCTTACCTGTTGTAGTTAGGTTTTACTCTCATGAACTGTCCCACTGAAGTGAAATGAGATTTTAGCTTGACTGAGTTTTGATAGAAATGCCTTGGGGGAATGACAATTGAGGGGTGGGAAAGAGGGGTCCCTATGAAGCCCAGCCGGCACCTGAGCAGCCCTCAAGGGTATTTTCTGTCCACAACCATGGTCACTGGGAGACTGTGCTTCACCTGAGTGGTTCTCATCTGTTTCATTTCTGCCTCTGTTCCATCTGTTATCTACTACTAATATAATGGGTTTAGTTGGCTCTGTGTTTGTCCAAGTGCACATGGGCACTTCAGAGACCCAAACAACCGCTTGGATGACAACAAAGGGGACACAGACATATGGGCGTAGCTGCCAAATAAAAAGCACCAGGGAGGCATCTTCCCCAGAAAACATTTCCACCTCATACCAGACTGTTTGGGTTATTTTCAGGAGATGATAGTCTGTTTTTATCCCAGATTCTCGGGTCCTGTGACCAGCTTGTGTGGTCTGTACACTTGAGGTGGTTGAAAAGAGGAATATCCTTCCTCTCCCCAAGGGCTGGCAATACACCTCCAAGCTGGCTCTCAAGATGAGCCAGGCAGAGAAGTGTCTAAACTTGCAGGACTAAGAAAAGATGATATTTTCTTTAGCCACCTTCACCAGAAAATCCCCAGGTTCTTCCTGGCCTTCTGACTGAGCTCCCCAAGCAATAAATCACAGCTGTGTGGTGGCAGGAGAAGCACCTTCTCCAACCAGCAAGGTGGCTTCAAAATGCCTTGAACATTTGAGGTTATATATAATTATACATTTATAAGCTCTTATATACAAGTTCTTGGAGGTGAAGGCAGCTCTTCAACAACTGAAGAACATAAACTTGCATGAATAGCCTGGATTCTTCAATTTAGCCAGGTAGTAGTGAATTTATACAAGAGAATTAGAGATGTGCCTAAAATGGCTTATTTTTGATGTCTTCTTGGTCAACCTCAAAGTCTTTAGTGCAGTGCATGGCAATAAGGGATCCTAAAAGGAAAAGTGTTGTCCCCAGGGAGGACTGGTCAGATTAACCCATGAGTCATGCCCAGAAACTGCTCACTTACAGTGTCAGGAAAAAACTCCCAGGTGTTCCTGCCTCCAGTTATGTGGTGTTTGCGCAGAACAAGAGGTCGATTGCAAAAAGGAATTCCCAGGAAACTGTTATCATGAGATTGTTTTATCTTTGTGCTTAGAACTATTGTTATTAGCTGACACTGTCCCCTGTTAAATTGTCTGGCCCAAGCTTTACGATTTCAAGCCATGCCTTGCTTCTGCTGTAACCTAGCACTGATGTCCTGTTCTGGAGTTCCTGGGAAATCCCAGGGTGGGGAGGGAAGCACAAGGTGAAAGATGCAGCTGAATTGTATCTCCTGTTACTGGTCGATGGCCATTTCCTTGCCTAATCAGCAAGTTCTGTGCAACTTCTTAATAAATATGGAGTAATCAGGGCTGGACAGATATTAATAGGGAGCAATGCCCACCAAGTCGATAGGCTTTATGAAAAATGAGATCCTGTATTTTTCTGCACAACCGTATGTCTGTGAAACTACCGTACTGTTGCTTATTCTGCATTCAGTGATGTTCTTCAGGTGCTGCCATCCGTGCAGTATTGCTCCTCTCTTGTTGACAATAGCAAGCACATCTCATAATTTATACCGCATCTACGGGAATCATCTTCCTGAGAAAATGCAAGAATTTTTAGCCACGAACCAAATCACCATAACAGGTTCTGGCTGCCTCAGGCAAGGCAATGAACTAGACTTAGTCCAAGGATCAGTGGCTGTAGAAGACCTGAGTGGCTTCAGGGCCTTTGTGGTCGAGCTTATCCAGTTTATCTAAGAGATGAGTCTTATCAAACAATCAGAGAGATTAGGATATTTCTGACATTACCCACCAGTTTAGGTGCATAACTTAAGACAGGTAAGTCCTGATTTTGTACTTCGTTAGACATTCAGAGCTTCCCCTGGAAGTTAATTGGAGTGTAGGGCTTGCACTTCCTCATAACGGGACTTGGGATGCCACAATTATTGAGCACTTTTGAAAATGAAACTTAAATGACCTTAGACTCTTTTGGACCATCTGAGGGAGGTTAAGGGAATTCCAGCATGGAAAGAGAATGACTTGCTTCATTTTCTCTTGTAGTGATGAAAGTAGCATTGAGTAAAATGCTAAGAGGGATCCAAAGATTGCACTGCCAAGGACTAGTGGTGAGAGGCAGCTGGAAGGGCTTTCAATAGGGGTGGGATAGATAACTCTAAACACTCTGTGGACTGGGAGAGAGTAGGAATGGCACCTGGGTTCCTCCTGATTCAGGATATTTGCATCTTTATAAAACATATCTGAGATCTAATGTCATGTATCTTCCCAGCGCCCCAAAAAATAATGATGGAGCTTGATACATTTTCAGGGAAAGAAAGTACAAATATACAGAGTGATTCTTTAGAGACTGGAGATTGACATTTAAGGCAGTGCAATTAGGTTTTTAATGGTTGACTATTTCAGACTCCCAGGGGTTGAATAGACTTGCTCATCATTCACCCATCATGTTTGTTATTTACTATTTATCGAATTTAGCAGGCTCTGCTCAGGCTGCTTGTGTTGATTTGATTGTTAGTATTCAGACCAGAAAGGCCAGACTGGCAAAAGGGTTGGGGGTGGGTTTTGCCTTCAGAGAAGAGGCAAATTCTATTTACCTCCAAGTCAGAATAAGGGAAGTGTGTTCCAGGTTTAGACCCTCCAGGATGTGTAGCACAAATTATCATCCAGATCCTCTCATAAGGCAAAGCCCTAAGACATCGGCCCAGTCTCTGGTCCTGTCTGCTCTTGCCCATTGTAGATTTTATGGAACTTTTGTGCTGAAAATCATGGGCTGTTGCTTGTGGTCTGAGGGCTGCTGTTTCCAAGAACTCTTCTGAAATGAGCATCTTCTATGAGTTGCCTGCAATGGCCCAACTTGCTGTCCATCTTTCTTACGTTCCTCTTAATGTTTCTACTTCTGCTGTTCTTCAAAACTAAACTCACTGGGAAATAGAACACTATGCTGTGAAGGGGTGCTGCTGGAACTCCTTTCTCCTGCTGACCATGTCTTTTCTGTTTACAGGTTCCATGTACGATGGTTTAGCTGATGGTTATGGTTATGGGACATCCCGGGGCAGCTATTATGCCAAAACCCAAACAGGAAACAGCAGCTGGGGATATCCGGTAAGATGCTTTTTTTTTAATCTGGGAACTGTGGCATACTCTTGGGGTATCCTGTGCAGAAGCACCTTTCAACAGGAGCAGTCGTGTAGCAAGGGCAAAGCCCTTCAGAAACTTGGCAGAGAGATTACGCGTGGCTATGGTTGTTTTAGAAAGCAAAAAATGCAATGGAAGAGGATGATCAATGGCCCTATCTCTATGTTTTGTGTGCTTCAGGGTTTTAGTGTGGACAAGATTAAGTTTGGTTTTGGGGATCAATTCCACACAGCACAAGAGGTTTAAGCTGTCTGAAGGATCAATCAAGGCTTCAGACTCCTGCAACTCAGTTCCAGTTTGGAGCCCATCCATTGCCCACCTGGGACGTACCAAAACTTCCCTGTGAACAACAGTAAAGTGGTTGAGTGGTGATGTTCAGGGGATTTACATTACAACTGTGTAGCTATTCTCATTCTCAGTGCTAGTGCAGACCCTTTTCAGATATTCTCTGAGCTTGGCAAAGAGGCTGTCCATTTCTCTCATAGTGATTTCCAAAAAAAGTATTACAAATAGCCAGAAAAAACACAGGTGAGATAGTACTTGTCTTTGTGCAATCTGAGTTTATGCATCCCACAGAGGTCCTGGTCTTGTCTGTGGTGACAGACTCTTGGTACACCAGGAATCACTCCAGGAATCACTCCAAACCACTCTATCATCTACTGTGGGATGGGACAACTTGTGCTTGTGTTGCCCCCTCCACCTCTGACCCTTGTTCTGTTCTTTCTTGGATTTCATCAGCTATAAAGTAGAAAGGAGCAAATCACAGATCTGGGATTTGAATATGGGAAAAAGAAAGGGCTCCTTTCAACAGCTCTGGGACTGTAAAGCAGCTCCCTGTCAACCATCAAAGGGCTGAACCAGGAAAAGTACTTTTGTTGGCTTCAAGCACACAGACAGAGGGTTGAAGTTTTTCCTGGTAGTTGCCAGATCCTCTGCTGGTTCGTAGCATCAGCATTCCTCAGCTTCAGAAAGATTTATCTGTTGTCTTTCTTAATGGCCTTGGTGCAGCCTGCTTGCTTCAAGGCTGGGTTTGCATCGCTGGGTTTGCTGCCGACTGTGTGTTCAGTAGGAAGGACTGGGAGCATGTGCATGTCTTTGAAATTTTTATTTACAGACTGTCTGTTGACTTGTTTCAATGTTCTATGCTTACCTGATTAAATCCCAGACAGGGGTGTTTCTGCCTGGTCTAAGACCAAAAGGGTGACTCTGAGCAGAGACCCATCCAGCCAAGTTCCTGTATCCATCACTAAGACAGTGATGGGCCCTTACAGAAGGGTATAAGTATGGTAAGCAGGCAGTGATGCATCCCAGAGTGTTTTTGTGGTCATCAGAAATGTGCAACTGAGGGACCTCCTAAGCCAGAGGTGGAGTCTCTGAGTGTCATAAATCAAATGATTGTGATGTTTTGTTTTGACCATATATTGCTGTTTGTCTCTTGTGATTCCTGAAGGGAGTTTGTTATGTTTTGTCTAAGCAAAACTGTTCTATTCCATCCATTCTAGTAGTTTCTAGTTGGGTTTTTTTTTGTGAAAGGGAGAGGAAGCTAAACCCCAGTTCTGCAGTTGCCCCTCCAGCTCATGCTCATGCCAGCAAGTGTTGCAGGTGTAAGGATTGTTGTTAATTTTGTTCATTCCTGATCTTCCTCCCTATCATTACAACAGCTGGACAAATGCTAGGTGGTTAGAAATGCCACTGGCTGCTGGGGATTTCATCAGCAGTGCTAGTGAACAGCTTACAAGATGATTACAAAGATCAGGGCCTCCGTTAGACCATAGAGTACCTTGGACACAGCAGTTCAGTCATTTCTGGTTCACCATGAATTTATAAAGCTCATGGAACTTCTCTGAAGGTCTCTTCTGCATTTACTGATGAGGGAAGGTCTTTCTCCAGACCTAAGCGTCTTACAAGCCTTTCACTCTAGAAATATATGGTACAGGCCTTCAGGCCCTGGGCTACTTTAGAAAAAGAGACTGGGAGTTGTGAAGGTTTCACGGTATTTGTCTTACCTAACTGTATCTATCTGAAAATCAACCATTTGGTCTTAACAAGTAGTCTAGACTCCTCCCACAGCCAACAAAGAGAGAGGTACGAGGAGGTGATTCATCTCCTCTATCTTGGAGATCTGTCAGGTCAGGATGAATCAGCCCCTCTGGATGCCTATCTCCTTCCACTGAGCTGGACTGGAGCAGCCACCTAACAGGTAGATGGCTGCAGTTAGGGGCGATGAGTCCCAAGTGCCATTGGCACATTGGAACATATAACCTCAAGCCTAAATCTGCTTAACAAGCTTAACAGACATCACACTCCCCAACCACACTGAGGAACCTCCTCCATTTTGCTTCTTCCAGAAAAGTACTAAAGGTTTACACACATCCACAACCAGCTTCCAGCTTGGGTTAACTTTAACTTCTGCCTACTTGAACTTCTGTTTGAAGTCTGCACAGGTTCTGGGCATTCTAAAAAAATGTTTCCTATTTGCAATTCCTGGGTTGTAAGACATGAAAACAAAGATAAAGCAAATTTATTTTTGAAGACAAAATTGCTGGACTTCTTTCCAGCTGGAGCCAATCCTGTGAATGTTTCTGAGAAGTCACAAAGTCCTTTGAGATGCACAGGCAAATTCAGATGTTTCAGTACAGTATTCAGGAAAAATTACCTACTTTTAATCCTTCTAGAGTTAAAAAGGTGTAACAGGAAATCCATGTCCATGTTATTGCTCCACAGCACCTGCAACTTAGACACTGCTCTTAAATTGTCTTAATCCAAGGCCTTGCCTTAGATGGTGACTCTAAATGACAGGAGGGATCCTGTCTCACCCGCAGCTCTTAAAAACTATTATTCCTGGCTTTCTCCTCTTGTCCTGTTTTGTGTTGTCTTGGAAATTTCAAGGTTTTTGCTTCTGAGTTTTCTTCCCTGCCTTATGATACCAGTATTCAAATATTAGAGCAAAAGAAATTATAAATCTGGTGAAGAGATCAGTCAACACTTCTGACTAAAATCATTGACTTACCTGTTATTAAAGACTATTTTCTGTTTATTCCACCCATGGAGTGCCGTGTTTGTAGCCTCACTGTAGCTAGCATTGCAGTGAGTACCCGCTCGTTACCAGTGTAGGGTACACTGAAACACTGAAATCAGTGGGACTGCTCCAGAATTGGGCACTGCGAGGGCAGCGGGTTTGCACTTGGCTGCAGAGTTTCCTTGGATCAGGTGCCAGGGGTTGGCTTGGCCTCCAGGGATGAAATCCCTGGTCCCATTTGCAGAGTGACCACGGTGGGATGCAGAAATAGTGCATGAGTGACTGAAAACCTCTCTGCGTTGGGTGATCTTCCAATCCAGGTGCTGTTGAGCCCAGGAGACCCTTAGAGCCATTTGTCTCCCTACTGAAAATGTGAGTTATGAGTGGCCACCAGTTCCCAGAGCCATCCAACCTCAGGAGGTGGCTGTGCCATGTCCTGGTGTAAAGCCTGAGCAGAGCTTGAGGTCCCACAAAAGCTACAGTGGTGACCACAATTTACACAGACAAACCTGAGGGAGATTTAAATAAGCTGGGCTGTCATGGCAGGAGAAGTCTCAGCGAGAGCTGCACCCATGACTCTGATACCTCAATACCACCCCAAAATGGGATCTGTTCAGCACTGGGCTCAAAGCTGACAGTCCGGTGGCCCATGGGCTGCAGCTTTGGAGATGCACAGCCAAATCCCAAGGGAACACGAGGGGAAGGGAGGATGTGGAGCCAGGATCCATGCCATCAGCAAAGACCCTCTGAGGCTTAATTCCCACCTGCAGCAATGCTGGTCTTGCTTGGGTCTACTGGGTTGGCAGCTCCACCCCTGAAAGAGAGGCAGGGGGGTCCCAGGTCCCATGTCTGTTTTGGCATCATCTGTGAAGATGATGCAGTATCAGGACAAGGAGCAGAAGCACAGCCAGCCTCCCTGTGCTGCTGCTCCCACAAGAAGGAAATACAGTGGCATGATGTGGGTGTAAGCCCCAGCATGGCCCCCCCCGACACTGCCCCGAACGAGGGGCAAATAAGCCCCTGGTGTGCTGGGTAGGGCAGGAGGCACATCTCGGACCTTGGAGGGTGCTCTGCCTCCATGGGGGTGAGCTGATCTTCATCCCCACAGAGCTGACCCGGGGCTTGCAGTGAGTGATGTTTCTGAGAGCAGCCCTGCTCCCAGATCCAGGAGTATCTGGCATGTCTGCTCTTCCCCTGATCAAAGCAGTTAACTGAGTTGGGTCCTGGCACATAACAGCTGGGGACCAGTGGCTAGTGGGCCACCAGTGCTCACCTCAGGCATCACTGTTGGGCTCAGTGCTCTCTGCCACACTAGCTCACCCAGCCTGGTTTCTGTAGCAACTATGTCAGTTATGGCACTAGTGAAAAACATGCACTTTGGTGATCCCTCTCCACTGGAGACTCTACGTAGATTCTCAACCAGATGTTCTCTGTGGGAGAAAGTTGCAGAGCTTTCTCTCCCCAGTGTGTTCTCCTTGAACACTCCCTGCTCTCCCTGGCTGGCTTTGCCTCCGTGGACAAAAATCTCTCATTGTCGCTGGGAGCTTTGTTCCATAATGTTTTCAGGACAAAATTTGTCATTTGCTGGGATGACACATTCAAGTTTAAAAGAACCCCAAAAATAGTGTGGTTTTGGGCAATCTTATCAAAGAGAAAGATCTATAGTTGTTGCACGTCGTTGCTCAGTCAGACCCTGTGAGGTTTTGCAAGAGCCTTTTCACTTCGGAGTAGCAAGTTGGACATTTCCTTCCCTTGCCAGAACAAAATGAACCATCAAGACCTAAATCTCAGCTGCATAAAGCACCAGACAAAAAAGTGTACAGAAAGGCAGCAGCCGGGAGAGGTGGGAAAGAGCGTTTCAGAAATAGATAAACAATGCATTTGCTGGTTTTGCAATTTTTCCCCCCCTGCAATGGAGTGTGCAGCAGGCAGCAGCTAAAGCGTTTCG